GCGGGGCGGAGGCTGCGGGCGCGCGAGCACGGCGGGGAGGGGGAGACCACTTCGGGGAGGGAGGGCCTCCGCCGCCGGCTCGTGCGCGGCGCCCCGGGCGGCGGCGGTGAGCGCGCGGCGGCGGCGGCGGCAAGTCACAGCACGCGGCGCGCCGCCGGCGCGGCGTCGCAGCGTATCGCGGCGCAGATGTCGTCCGTGCCGAGCGACGACGACAACTACGACGACGAGGAGGCCGCGGCGGCGGCGGCAAGGCGGCGGCGGCGGGGTAAGCGCAAGGCGCCGGCCCAGCCGCGCCCGAGCCGCGGCTCCCGCCGAAGCACGCGGCGCGGCGGCGGCGGCGGCGGCGGCGACGGCGGCAGCGGCGGCGGCAGCGGCGGGTCGGGGCACAAGCGGCGGCGGAAGAAGTCAAAGCGGCGGCGGCGCGGCAGCGATTCGGAGGTCGACTCGCACGAGTCGAGCTCGTCCTCCTCTTCGTCGTCTTCGGAGGAGGAGGAGGAGGAGTCGTTCTCGTTCTCGGAGCACTCTGAGGGGAGCTGCGAGGAGGCGGCGGAGGCGGCGCGCCCCCCCGTGCGGAGGAGGCCGCGCGCGGTCGTGGAGGACGACGAGGCGGAGGGCGAGGCGGAGGGCGAGGCGGGCCCATCCACCTCCTCCTCCTCCTCCCGGCGGGGTGGGCGCGCGGCGCAGCGCCCTCGCCGCGCCTCGGCGTCGGCTGCGAGCAGCAGCGCGGTCGTGGCGCAGCCGGTGTCCTTCCGCTGCAGGTTTCGGTGCGGCTTCAAGCGCTTCGACGAGGACGAGGTGCAGGCGCACGAGTTCGCGTGCGAGAGGAACCCGGACGCCGAGTTTGCGGAGGGCGAGCTCGCGGAGGGCGAGGTGTTCGAATGCGAGTTTGAGTGCGGCTTTGAGCACGCCGACCGGGCGGTGGTGGAGGAGCACGAGGAGCAGTGCGAGAGGCGGCCGCAGGGCCGCCGCGAGCTGCGGGAGCGGCCTCGCCGCGAGAGGCGATCGGTTTCGCTCGCCTCGCCCGGCGACGAGGCCGCGCCGTCGGAGACGCGCGAGGAGCGGCAGGCGCGCCGCGCAGCCATGCGCGGGCGGTAGGACCGAGGCTGCCACCGCGGCAGAGGGTCGCCTCTCAGTTGACGTGCAGCGGGGCGCTCGGCGTCGGGTTGGGCTAGGGGAGTTGCGCGTCAGCGTGCGGTGCCGCGCTGGTGCTCTGGCGTTCTCTCTCGTCTCTCTGCCGACTGACAAGTCTCTAGTTTGCTTCTCCGCGCCACGTGTGTGCCGCCATGAGCTGGTTAGCTGTACGCCCACATGTGTACTCTCTTCAAAAAAATGACTGCGGTAACTCACAAAAGTCAAAACCCACCCGCGCCGGCGCGACAACCGACATCGCAGACCTGTTGCACGCCAACCGTGAACCACCCACGGACAGCTCAAAATCGCTGTGCGCGGCCGGCGGCTTGAGCGCGCGCCCTATTTTGTGTTTGTCCTCGCAGTCGATGCGGAGAGAGAGATTTTAGAAAAAAGGACGTCCGCCGCAATTCGGACAATGCTCTTTCCCACGCCCGCCACATGACGCCCACCGCCGCCGCGTCGGTCGGCGCGCGCCGACGCCGACCATCACCACCGACCGACGGCTCGCACGGCCGTGCGGTGAGCAAAAATTTGGGTCGCTGCGCGCCTGCCGGATGCTCTGCGACGTCTGGACGCTCGCCAGAAACGCCAGGAAGCTTGCCTTCCACCCCTGGGCCCGAGGGCGAACGGCAGTGGTCGGCAGCCTCTGCGACGCTCCGATCGGCTCCTCGACCTCATCGCCTGCGACGAGCCAGCATGGCTCGTCGCTCGACGGCAGCCTGCTCAGTATGCTCTTGGCATTCTGTACAGCCTCGCCAGGCTCTCTGAGACGGCCTGCAGGGCCGGCGCGGACCGCCTCGGGCGCGATGGCCCTCCTCAGTACCTACCTCTTCGATGCCTGTCGGCTCTCCAATCTCGTCGCCGGCGGCAGGCCCGCATGGCGCGCTGCTCGATGGCAGCCTGCTCAGTACGCGGTGCGGAGGGCGCCGCGGGGGGCCAAACTGGCTCCTGCTGCTCATATTTTTGACGTGTGTGTAGTCTATACAGTCTGTACACCAGCGCCAGTGCCGTCAGTGCCCACGCGAGAGGCGCTAATGCCTGTTTTTGCGCCTTGTCCGGACTGGCTGGGCGGTGGTTCACGGTTGGCGCGCAACAGGTCCGCACACACACATGCGAATTGCGATGTGTGACCCACGCATGCCGGCGGCGGCGCCCCCGCCGTCTCGCGGCTGTATATGCATACCTCAGCACCCCGCCTGCCGATACACACGGTGTGTGCGGCTGTGGGCGAGGCGCGTCATGCTTCAGCCAACGGCGTCCACGACGAGACGTGGGCGGGGTTACGCTAAGCGGAGTCGAACGATGCCCGGTCGCCCCGCCGCCTCCCAAGCCTCGGGATCGAGCACAGATTTTCGCTGCTCGATGAGGATAGATCCGCCGACGGCTAGCCGTACCGAGACCCTCCGTGTGTCGTCCATGCGCGCGCGCCACTCGGTAGCCGAGAAGAGGCGACGCGCAACCTCCGAGGGTCAGCAGGTCTTGTCGGCGCCTCGCTCGCGAAGGAGGGCCAGGATAGTCGCCTCGATTTGAGCGTCGAGCGGCTCGACCCGCGTGCCGGCCGACTCTGCCCTCTTTCGCTTTCGCTCAGGATTGCTTTCAAAGCGATGCAGCGACGCCTCCGAGACTCGCTCCCCGTCTGGCTCAAAGTGAACGCCCTCCTCCTCCAACAGCGCCCGCTTGCGGTCAATTGCGGCGCCACCGCCCCAAGAGCCGTTGAACCCGCCGATGCGCCGATCAGCAGCAACCACACGATGTCACGGAACCTCATCAGCGGGCGAGCACCCCGAATCCGGTGCGAGTGGGTTCCTCCGCATGCACTGGCCCACCGCTCGCGCACTGCCGCCTGTCACTCGCGCAAGCTCGCCGTACGTGGTGACGCGGCTGGTAGGGACGCTGCGGACCAAGGCAAAGACAGACTGCTGGAACGGAGTCAGAGTCATGGCGGCGCGTCGTGTCTCAGTCGAAATGTGTTTTTTGATCACAGCTCAGAGGTGCCTGCAGTTGTTGTTCTTTCGCGCAAATGTGACCGACGGCACCGCCATCACCGCGATCGAGCGCGCGCCCGGTAGTCGGTGCCCTCGCGCTGCTCGACGCCCGCCATCACAGCTTCGCAGTCGGCCATCTGCGTCACGGCGCGGGCGGAGACGAAGGAGGTGGTCTCGACCGATGACGCGCCCATTCGCGCCAGCCGGTGGATCAGCTCAATCTTGGTGGCTGCATCGACTATCCGCTGCTCGTTCTGCAAGCCGTCGCGCGCACCGAGCTCGTAGATGCGCACACGCGCCGGGAGGCTTGCCAGCGTGTGCTGCGCGGCGTGCCAGCGTGTGCTGCGCACGCCGAGGCAGGCGGAGCGTGTGGGCGGCCAAACGGAGCCTTATATCATGAGCGGCGGCGACTGGGTCGGAATTTTTCTTTTTCGTCGTGTACTCGAGTCCGCGCCCTTGTCGTGCCAGCCTGCGTGTGAGAGAGGCGGGCACACAGAATTCTAGATCCTAACATTCTTCATCCTGCTCCGCCGACAGGCTCTTCCGCCGTGACAGCCGGACGCGTGAGTCGGCGGAAGGGGAAGGTGACAGGAGCGCAGCCTTCATGGTGGGGTGCCGGCGGCGTCGGCAGGATGGTCGAGTCCTGAGACGGGCCAGGCAGGATGTCTCGAGAGCATCATCCGAACACGTGCATGTTGTTCATGATGGCCGCCATGTTCACGGGCCTTGCGGGCGGCGCCCCCGCCGCGGGCGTCTCGCCCGCGTGCTTGCGCCTGGCGAGGAGGGGGAGGGAGAGTCGGGCTGCCGCGGAGACAGAAGGCGGCGGGGTGGGAGTGCGGATCACTCACATGTGATTCTTGAGGTTGTTGGAGCGCGTAAAGGCGGCGCCGCACTCGTCGCACTCGAAGGGCTTCTCGCCCGTGTGCTTGCGCCTGGCGAGGAGGGGGGAGGGAGAGTCGGGCTGCCGCGGAGACAGAAGGCGGCGGGGTGGGAGTGCGGATCACTCACATGTGATTCTTGAGGTCGCTGGAGCGCGCGAAGGCGACGCCGCACTCGTCGCACTTGAAGGGCTTCTCGCCCGTGTGCGTGCGCCTGGCGAGGAGGGGGGGGGGAGAGTCGGGCTGCCGCGGAGACAGAAGGCGGCGGGGTGGGAGTGCGGATCACTCACATGTGATTCTTGAGGTCGCTGGAGCGCGCGAAGGCGACGCCGCACTCGTCGCACTTGAAGGGCTTCTCGCCGGTGTGCGTGCGCCTGGCGAGGAGGGGGGAGGGAGAGTCGGGCTGCCGTGGGAGAGAAGGCCGCGGGGTGGGAGTGCGGATCACTCACATATGTCGCGTGAGGTCTCCGCGGTCCGCGAAGGCGACGCCGCACTCGTCGCACTTGCAGGGCTTCTCGCCGGTGTGCGTGCGCCTGGCGAGGAGGGGGGAGGGAGAGTCGGGCTGCCGCGGAGACAGAAGGCGGCGGGGTGGGAGTGCGGATCACTCACGTGTGCGACACCTCTGCTCGGGCCAGGCAGGTGCGGGACTTGTGGCCGACCTTGCCGCACGCCGAGCAGCGCTGCGACTTGTTCTTGCTCGAGGAGGGCGTCTGGGGCGGGCGGGGGGGGCACACGCTGGCGGGTCGGCGCGCGCCGTGCGGAGGCCCTGAGAAGGGCGGCTCGCCTGGGAGTGCTGGGCAAGCGCCGCCAAATCCTCTGAGCGAGGAGCCGCCGGTCGCTTGCGGCTCGGAGCAGCGAGGCGCTGCTCACGCGAGTACGCCTCGAAGCCGGCCAACTTCAGCACCACGCGCGCCACGCCGGCGGCGCTCTCCGCTCCCGCCTCCGCCCGAGGCTGCGCCGCCGCGGGCGGGCCGGCCTCGCCCACGGAGGCGCCGACAGCGGCGGTCGCCTACTCCCAAACCGGACGCCGTGAAGAGAGGTTCCCGTGGGCTCGTGGCGGGCGCTCTTGCCGGCGGACCGGCGAGGCGTCGTCGCGCGGGCGAGCCTGCGGCGGCGCGACGGCGAGGGCGGCGGCGAGGGCGGCGGCGGCGATCGTGGGCGGGCCGGCCTCGCCCCCGGCGGCGCGGAGCACCAACGTGGCGGCGGCGGGAGCCGGGGCGGTGGAGGCGGCGGCGGTGGAGGCGGGAGCGGCGGCCGCTGCCTCGAGCGGCGGCTCGAGCGGCGGCGGCGGCGGCGGCGGCGGCGGCGGCGGCGGCGGCGGCGGCGGTGGCGGCGGCGGCGGCGGCGGCGAAGGCGGCCCCTCCGCCGGGGCGGGCGGCGCGGCTGAAGCGGCGGGCGGCGGTGCCGGCGGAGGCGGAGGCGGCACAGCGGGCTCGTTGGGCGCCAGCTTTGCGGCGGGCGGAGCGACGGCCTGCGCCGCCTCCGCTCCAGCGAGCTCATCGGCGGCGCCGCCCGACGCGGCGCCCTTCTCCTCCTGTGAGGTCACTCGCAGCCGCCGCGAGGCAATGAGTGCCCTCGACTCTCGGCAGACGGGGCACGTGCGGTGATGCGCACGGTTGAGGCTGTCGATGCAGTCCGCGCAAATGCGGTGCCCGCACCTTAGCACGCAGACATGCGTCACCACGGCGAACGCTGCGAAGCACACCGGACAGGCCGGTGGCCCGGGCGCGATGTTCAGCGGCGGTGTGGGCGGCGCGCGGCTCCTCGCCCGCATAATCGCGGCGACGGCGATGTTGTTCTCGTCCCGATGAGCGGCGAAGACGTCGCCGCCGTACGGTAGACTAGGGTTAGCCATCCGGCGGGAAGACCCTCCCGCGTGTGGGGAGAGGTCGGTCGAGTCGGTCGAGACTCCCGCGCGAAGCTGTGAGTGCAGCGAATAGGAAAATTCGAGATTTCGACACCGCGATCCTAAGGGATCCTTCAAGCAGGTCCCCGCTTGTTTCTTGAAACCATCACATAGTGCAGCAATAAACCACACCGCTCCGACATGCCGCTGCTGCCGAACGAGGCGATCGAACGCATGCGCAGTGATCTCGTCTGCGCGGGGAAACTGACCGCGTTTGCCGCTGCAAATATGCGAGATGCGCAGGTGCCTCGCGCGTGGGCAGAGCTGAACCGCGAGCAGGAGGCGGCCGAGCGCCGGGCTCTCGAGGAGTCTGCGCGAATGGCCCGCAAGGTGGCGAGGGACGTCAGGTGCGCGTGCGCTGGAATCGGCCCATTTGTAATCACATTTTGGAACCCCAGTCATTTGCCATAGGCCGCCTGCGGAGGGGCCAACGCGCACGCGCTCCGTTGTGTTTGTTTGTCGGGGGCGGGGGTGGAGAGGGGGGCGGGGCGGGCAGGGTCGGGGCGGGAAGCGCAAGCGCGACAGTGGCGGCCATGCACGCGGGCGACGGGGGCGGCGCCGTTCCGTCGAGCGGGCGAGCGGTGCAGTCCGGCTGGTGCGAGAGCTGCCACATCTGGGACCGCCTCGAGGTGGACCCTGGGTCCTGGTCGCAAACGGCCTACTGCCAGGGCTGCTGGGCACGGTGGTGGTACGACGACGACGCGGGCCACGCGGGCGTCACCGCCCCCGCCGCCGGCGGTTTGTCGTGGGCGTCGCCCGTGACGGCGGCCGGACCAAGCGCTTCGCGGCCCTCTCGCGAGCCCCGCTATGCCGGCGGGGGCGCACCGCGGGGCGAGGGCGAGCCGCCGTGCGAGAGCGAGTCGCGCTTCAGCTTTGGATCCCACTCATCCAACTCGCCGCCGATCGCCGGCGCATCGATGTCGGTTGATGTGGCACATTGATGTCGAGTAATGGAAATCTCTAGTCTTTCTTAGAGATTGAGAGCTTAAAGATTTGAAAGACTCCACTCGGGTCTACAGTGCTACCCAGAGATTTGAGACCAGAGATTTGAGACTTGAGACCTCAGTCACTCGGCCTCCGGTGGGATACTTTGAGATTAGAGACCAGAGACTTGGAGAATGAGATTTCCCTCACATGATTGCACTCCAAGTGCTCCAAGTGCCGAGCGCGCGCAACTGTTGGGTGCGATGGCGTGTGAGACGTGTTTTTACCCATGTCCTCACTGCCCGGGGTCGACGTCGGCGTACGGCCGCTTCATCTGCTGGCCCCACCCGCCCATCTCTGAGGGCGGAATTGACATCGGCGGCGGCACCGGCACCGACATCAGCCCAGGCAGGCCGCCACCGCCGCCGCCCGGCCCGCCGCCGCCCGGCCCGCCGCCGCCGCCGTAAGCGCCGCCGTGGCCGCCTCCGTGGCCGCCTCCGCCCCCGCCCCCGCCGCTCGCCTGCATGGCCATTGCGCTCCTGTGCGCCTGCACCTCGCTGCGGGATGCGGTGCAGTTGGTTGCGATGTGGCCGCGGCCGCCGCACTTGTGGCAGATGTTCTGCGGGCACTCGTTGATGTAGTGGTCCACCTGCGGCGGGCGGAGGGCGGGTGGCGGACGGCGGCATGCAGAGGCAGGGAGGCCGTGGGGGAGGGGGGGGGGGGGTCCGGGCGCGCCTCGCCGCACTTGGCGCACTTGTACCCCGGCGGCGGCCGCCGGCCGCTGGGGCGCGGTGGCCCCTGCCCGCCGCGACCAGCGAGCATCCCTCCCATCCCGGGGAAGCCGCCGCCGCCGCCGCCGCCGCCGCCGCCGCCACCGCCGCTGCCCGCGCCGACCGCGTTCGCGCCTCCGGTGAGCGGCGTCAGGTTTGCCATCGAGGCGGCGCCGCTGTGCGGGGCATGCCGGTCGCGGCCGGCGCGCAACGGGTGGCCAAGCAGGCAGTTCTCGTCCTCGCAGGAGCAGTTGCGGCTGTGCTCCCCCTCCGCGCCGTGGTGCCGCGAGCACGAGAGCTTGAAGCGGCACGACCTGCCGTAACGGCACGCCTCGGGCGGCTTGAAGCGCGAGAGGTCCTGCTGAGGCCGCGCCGCCAGTGCCGCCTCGATGGCCCCCGGCGGGGGGGGCACCACCGCGGGGACGTCGTGCCAGAAGCCGAGGTAAAAGTGCCCCTCGAACCACGCCGCCTCGCCCGTGAGCGGCTCGTTGCTCGCGGCGATGCTCGCGAGCGCCCTGGCTGCCTTGCTGCGAGCCGCCTCGGCCGACAGCACGCCGTTGCCTGGCGCGCCCGGCGGCGCGCCGGGCGCGGGACCGCCCGCAGCGGGCGGTGGGATGGGCAGCATATATATGTTTGTGTATGTGTGTGTATGCCACGCCTGCTATTCACAGCCTTGTTATTGAGAAGAAAATACCTCCTATGGCGCTGTGCGCTGGCCTGTGAGAGGTTGAGGTGTTCACAGCACAAGCCCTCGCCGGGGGCTCGAGCATGCGCAGCGAAAAGCATATGTGTATGTGGCCGACCTCAGAAAAGAATTCAAGCTGATGTGGTGGCGGCGTGCCGTCCTTGCGCGAGGGGAGCTCGATAGACTCGAGGGGCCAGGATACGCCGCGAGGAGGACAGAGTTGCGCCGAAAGGCGAAAGAAGCCGCGAGAACAAGGGACCGGCAGGCGGCAGCGTCGCCGGACGAGGCAGATGAGAGCGACGCGACAGAGGAGGAAACGACAGGAGGGAAACGACGAGAGTGGGACGACCGCGAGGTGGCATGAAGGTTGCAGCGAGAAGCGGCGAGAGACTGCGAAGAGAGATAGGAAGAGGCAGACTCCCTAGGGTGGGCGACGGCTAGCGCACCACACACCTCTCCTTAAAATCCCTGTGTGGTGGCGGCGTGCCGTCCTCCCATCCCTCCCTTGGGTTGTCTGTTTTCTTTCTTTTTTTGCCGTCCTCCCCTCCCTCCTTTGGGTTGTATGTTTTCTTTCTCTCTTTCTTTCTGTCCGGTTCTTTAGCGAGCACACACACACACACACGCACACACACACACACACACACACACACACACACACACACACACACACACACACACACACACAGTTAGTTAGTTAGTTAGGAAGGTGAAGAACAGCCAGCCAGGCTCGGACTGGACACACCAACGCGGTATGGGTAGGTAGGTAGGTATGGGTGGCGGACACGATGGCGGCACTGGCTGCCGCACCGCCTGGTGTGGAACCTCAGGGGCGGCCCCTCGACCCAGCGGTCGCTCCAGCTGCGGAGGCGGAGGCGGTGGTGGTGGGTGCGGGCCTGGCGGCGGTGCCGGCCGCCGCAACTCCTGGAGCGGGGCCTCGGGGGAGGCCCCCTGCCCCTGTGACCGTCCCAGCCGTGGTTCCACGCGTCGGCCGCCCACCCCGCTCGTGGGGGGGGGGCTAGCTCTCATCTCCCCTCGGGAAGGGGGGGGGGCGGGGCCCGTAATCGCCGACGGCCCCGCCTCCCCCCTCCCCCGCTCCGCATCAGGCCGTAGGCTGTGCAGTAGTCGCGTCGCCTCCCCCCTCGCCCGGTCCCCTCTCGATTCGGTCCCACACTGACCGGATATCAAAGGCCGAGTTGTGTTCGGATAGCGGGCCCGCCGATGCCACCCGTCTCTTCACACAGCAAGCGTACGCCTTCATCGCCTGCTCCCCCGACTGTGTCGGTCCCGGTGCGATGTCGTTGACGAGGTAGTCCTCCCACTCCCACCGGAAAACCTGTCCAAGAAGGTCCGTCGAGCCAACCAGCCGTCTTGCCAGGCTCCGCACTTCCCGCGTCTGCACCGGCCTGAGAACGCCGGTGCTGGCCGCGAGCGACAGACCGATCGGCCTAAGCTCCGCCAGGACCGCCTTCTCGCCCGCCGCCGCGGCCGCTCGATCCATCCATCTCGGCCTCTCGGATTGCCTCCTCCCGTCGTCTTGCCCTATCTGCTGCCGGCACGAACCTCTCCGGGCTGCCCCGTGCTCTTTTTGGCAAGACCCGCGCCGGGGGAGGCCGATCCACAGCCGTATCCCCGGCTCGGGATGTATGTATGTGCTTGCTCGCCCGTTGCGGTGGTCGCTCCCCCCTCACTGCCAACCCGTCTCCTTGCCTCCTCTTCTCACGGACCACAGGAGCTGCACAACAAAAGCACACACACACTCCTCGTCCCTTCAAGGCGTGGCACAAAAAAGAAAAGAAACAACCCACACACAGGCGCGTCATGGGTCGTCGCGTTTTCCGCTTTGGGGACGGCCACATAATCACGCAACGCCCGACAAGTAGTGGCGGATGGGACTCTCGACCACGGACCCCGGCGCAACACTTGTCGTCGCCGAAGCTGTGCCAGTGAACGCGGACGCCGCAGATGCGCCGATTGCCGTGGCGGTGGCTGCACAGCCCGCGGTGGCGCCGACGCCTCAGTTTATGGAAGATGAGCTTCAGGCCCTGACCCGAGAGATGCGGAAGAGGTGTGGGAGTACGTATGAGGGCACTGGCTGGCTCTACTGCTTCAAAATCCGCGACCGCCTCGATCTCCTTCCTTTCTCGAATGGGCGGGGAGAGAATGGCGAGTTTCCGAGGCAAAGCGACATGCAGGTCTCGTGCTGCGGCTGCATTCCACTCACGAGTATTCAGAGCACGGGTGCGTTCAGCGCCGACGGCACGACTGGCAGCTTTGTTGCCAGTGACGGCGGCACATCGACTGCGACTCTCGCCTCGCTAGACGTTGGGCACAAGACATCGGCGTCGTGGAGTATGGTGACATGCAAGAACGGAGTGGTCCTGTTTGAGGGCATCGCCACCATTGACGGGCGCACTGATACGGGCACGCTGAGTGGTCGCGCGATCAACCCTGAAAATGGCAGCTCCACAACAATCAACATCAACTACACGAAGAAATGACTACCATGCTAACCTGCTACCTGGCGATGCTCATCCGGCATCATGATGTGTCTTCGTCAGCGTCTCCTCTCTCTTTTACTCCCAGGCGCCTGTTGAGAGATGCGTTGTGGGGGCGGGCCCACGCTGCCACGCTCCGTCTAAGAGCACCATCGTGTGTGTCATGACAGCCGTCCACCATGCCGTGTCTCGCGAATAGCTCGCGTACAGTATCTCTACAGTACCGCCGGCGCCCACTCGGGCGGCACCTGCGTCTCTTCCCATTTCACGGTATCCCGCAGCCACAAAAGGATGGTATACCACGCCCGGGCAACCTCGCTGTGACCCGGGTTGTTGCCGGCGCAGCAGCCCACATTCTCGATCGTCGCGAGGCCCAGCACCGGCGAGACGTGGAAGCCGTCCCTCACCACGTGCTTCGCGACGAGCCCCGGCATCGCCGACGAGAGTTTGTGAAACATCTGCTCGTCCTGGGTGAGGAGGATCTCCTGATCGCCCCAAAGCATGAGGGTCTCCATGGGCAGCTTCTTCGAGCCGCCCAACAATGCCCTATCTCTCTCCGCCTCGGCGAGCACGGCGAGCTCCTCTTGCGTCGCGAGGATCGGTGATATCAGAGAAATCGTCGCGCGCGCGGCTGACGAGGCATAGACCGCGCACACCTGCTTGTACCCATTGCGAGGCAGCATGTCGCCGCAGCCGTAGTGAGCGAGCCCGCCATTCTCCTTTGGCGAGTTGGCCGCCATCGACGGGACCGTCTCCTGGTCGGCCGAGCAGTCGCGCAGGTCGATGAATGGCGAGATGAGCAGCATCCCGGCGGGTGACGGCATGTGCTCGCCCTCATAGAGGTTTTCGGCCGCCGAGAGCAGCATCGTGAGAGTGAGCCCGCCCCCAGCAGAGTCGCCGGCCACGACAATATTCTCTGAGCCGTAGAGCTTCACCAGCATCATGTAGGTCCTGGTCCAGCCGAGGACCTGCGTCGGATAGACACACGGCTGATTGTCCTTGCGGCAGGGATCCTTGCTCGCCAGTGGATACTCTCCAACGAGCACGACGTGGCCCGTCTGCTGGGAAAGGAAGAGCGCGAGCATCCACAGGTAGTCTGCCGACTGCGTTGCAATGTACCCGCTCCCGTGCGACCAATAGATCACCTTTGACCCTGGAGCTCCGGGCTTCACATTGGTCTGCAATGGCCGGCCCGCCCTGTCTCTCGCACGCGGTGGCGTGGGCAGCACACCCCGCATCTTCTTCCCCTCATACGTCTCAAACGAGGCCGGGAAGGCCCAGTATCCGCCGCAATCTTCCTTTGTGTTCATCTGGTCGTCGTGCTGCCCAACGTAGCCGCTGGCGGGCATGTAGGTGGTGTTTGGAGCGAAGCCTGGCCGCCCGCCGCAGAGGCCACAGCAGCCTCTTTGGTACAGCACGCAGCAGGTGAAGAGGCACGGCACCGAGGTCATGAAATCGGCCAGCGCCTCGACAGACGAGGCAAAGTCATTAGGCCCGGGGGAGTCATATGGCGGGTTTTGCTTCGGGTCGGTAGGAAGAGGCCAGAGGCGGAGCACTTCTTCTGTCCCCGCGACGATCATGCGCTGTATCCAATAACGCATGGAGTCAGTTCGCTTCGCCGGAGACTTGCAGCAGACGCACGCCACATCGCAAACGCCGCCCCTCTTGTCCTCGCCGAGGCCAGTGCAGGGGCAGCAGCAAGTCAGGCAGCCGCACGGACACCAGCTCGGCCAGATGAAGCGGTGGCCGACGTCGTTGCCGCAGGTGAAGCAAAAGGCGAGGAGGAACGTGCAACCGTAGTTCGATTGGCAGAAGAGGCACGAGCGGGGGACGCAGAAACCTGCCCAAAGAGGAACGTTTGCGTGGCACGCGCGAGCAAAAACGCGTAATCTCAAGTGGATGGGTTGATCGGTGCATTGTTGCTCTGTTGTGTGGCTGGCCCTCACCGTAGCAAGCATCGCGGGTGCATGCGACCCAGTCGCGGCAGCACATCACCTCTTTGCCCGGAGCGAGAAACTCGTCGTCGTACGGAAAAGAGTACATGTAGCTGTAGACGTCTGCTCGCAGCAGACGTTCAGTTGGGTAAACACGTCTGCTCGCAGCAATTAGGGCATCTGGGTGATGGGAAGCGTGCGAGGGGAGCGACGCGAGGCAGGCAGAGGCATGTGCATCGAGGCGCGCACCCGGCAGCCCGAGGTCCATGTGTGCCATCCCTCGGCTCTGCGCATCACTTGGGTCGAATCCACGTTGCATCACCTTCAGGCGTTTGCTTTCGTGGTTCAGTCTCGTGCAGAGAGTGATGAGAGGGGACGCAGCACTTCGCGCCTTTGGTTGCGGCGGCGAAGGGGCGACGTCAGGCGGCTCCAGCTCGAGTCGGGGGACAAATCCCGTCTGGCGCCGCCGCTGGTCGAGGTACGACGCGCTGGGTGGCGCCATCGACGGCTGCGGCTTCATGGCTCGGCGAAGGAAGGGTGTGTGGGACGTGCGTAATAGAAGCGCATTGGCCGGTGCTGGTGCCGCGGCCGCGTTCCATGGAGCGGCTCGAAGCGACCGTCCCACCTGACGTTGTGGGTGGGCAGCTAATGCTGATGGATACGCCTGCTGGCAAGATGCATGTCCAGGCGTGACGTGATCTCCATCCGTCCCTTGACGGTGAGGGTGAGATGATTGAGCCCCGATCCTCTCTGCAGGTGCCAGCAGGCCTCGAGCCTGGAAGCCGCTTCACCGTTGAGTACGCTGTCCCCGCAACGCCAGTCGTGCAGGCGACATGTGTGCAGCCAGCTGCCGCTCGGCTGCCGGCTGCAGGCGGTGCTTCTGCGCCGGGAACGGAGGTGCACAACCATTACTCGACGACAAACAACTATCACAGCGACTTGCGGTGGGGTCTGACTGGGCCGAACCCAAGACACCCCAACTCTTATGTGGACCTGTGCGCGACGGTGACGACTTTCTCAGTGGTCTGCGGCATAGCATTTTGGTTAGGAGGGAACTGCTAGTAGGGCCTGGAGCTGGTCGAACACCATGCTCGACGGCCGGGCGTACGAGCCGACGACGGCGGACGGCGCAATGCGCAGGGGCGGCCACTGCCTCCGCGCGGTCGACGCCGCCGCACGGGGCTGCGTTTTTCGAGCGCAGCGCTCCCAATCGTTGTGGGGGCGACCCCTCCCCAAAACGCTGCTCAAAGGGGTGCGGCCGCTTTTCGAGTCCAACGCTCGAAATCGCTGCGCCCTGTTGGCTGCCACTTTTTCAGTTCCTCGGCTCCGCACGCAGAGCTGGATCACGTCGTCGTCGATCGCAGCCGTACCTGTACCTGTACCTGGTGCAGTGGGTTGCGGGCATTAAGAAAACAGGATTGCGCGGCACGCCGCCGTTTCGTCTAAGCCTTTCCACACACCCCTCACCAACCCCACGCCGTGGTTTCTTAGCTCCCAGGTCAAAGGTCAGAGCCGGCCCTAAGGATTTTTAGGAAGAAGAGGTAAGCTGCGGTCCTCCCGGATCCGATCCCCAGCCAGTCACCTCTCAGTCAGTACGAGTCTGCCACCGACTCAAGACACACACGGACACGCCTCCATCCACACCGCTCACTCAGAACACCGCCGGACACCGCAGACTTGCCGGACACCAGAGGTACGTGCAAAATTCTTGGTGTGCCTGTGATCGCCGTACTGGGTGAGAACGGCGTTCTCTGGTAAGCTCAGCTGTGAACTTCCCAGTGGTTTGCTCTTGCTTGCGCGCGACCTCTTGCGTGCACGCCCAAGCTCGAGCGGCATCACGCAGAGCGAGCTCTGCGCAGGTCCCGCGACCTTCTCGGGCAGGAGCCCACCTCTCCTTCCCTCCGTGCGCCCAACGATATGGGCAAATCCGCGCCAAAGCGCGCTTCCGACGCTGACCAAGACGTACGGCCCGCAGAGGCAAAGGATGGATCTGGGCCGGAGCCCCCTCCCTCGGGGGCTGGCGGGGGCACCGACGGGGCCCCAGCCGCGCCTCCCGCTCCTGTGGACTCGGCCGAGGAGCTGCGAGTGCTTCGCAAGCAGCTCGAGCGGCTCGAGGCTCAAGCCGCCGCTCGCACCCGACGGGGAGGACCCCCCACCGGGAGGCGGCGGTGGCGGCGGCGACGGCGGCGGAGCGGGCGGCAAGGCGGCCAAGGACCGCGAGCGGGTGCCCCGGAGCCTCCCACCCCCCCAGACTCCGACGCCGACTCGTCGGAGGACGACGTGGGGTTCACTAGCGCTCGCTTGTGTCAGTCACACTCCTGCTGCCACTGCTCCTCGTCGCTGCCATGCCTAGCAGCGACTTGCCCACCCTGCGCATCATCAAGGCCGATCAGCTGCCAGCCTCCTGCTTCGAGCCGGTCGACCCGCAGGCGCGCGAGCAGGCGCTCGCGATGATCGAGGACGTAAAGGCAAACAAAGAAGACGGCCTGCTCAAGCACGCGTGGCGGCTCGGCGACCTGCCCAGTGGCGACCGCAAGTACACCGTCACGCGTGACGAGCTTCGCGCCGCCTTCGAGGCGGCGGAGCCGTCGCTGCAGGGCCTGCTCGAGCGGGTCGCGGCGCGAGTGCGCACGTTTGCAGAGGCGCAGCGGGCCAGCATCACGACGGTGAGCACGGAGATCGAGGGTGGCGCGGCGGGTCAGCAGGTCGTCCCCGTGAGCAGCGCGGGTTGCTACGCGCCCGGAGGCCGCTACCCGCTCCCCTCGTCCGTCATCATGACGGCCGTGACTGCGCGCGCGGCCGGTGTCGGGCGAGTCGTGGTCGCCTCGCCGCGCCCGTCGCCGGTGACGCTCGCCGCGGCGTACGTGGCGGGCGCCGACCTGCTCCTCGCCGTCGGCGGCGCGCACGCCGTCGCAGCCCTCGCCTACGGCCTCGGCGACGCGCTCGCCCCCGTCGACCTCATCTGCGGGCCGGGCAACAAGTGGGTGACGGCCGCAAAGTCAATCGTCTCTGGCTTCTGCGGGATCGACATGCTGGCTGGGCCGTCGGAGGTGCTCGTGATCGCGGACGCGTCCGCCGACCCGCAGGTGGTCGCCGCGGACTTGCTCGCGCAGGCGGAGCACGACGTGGAGGCGCGTCCGATCCTCGTGACGCCCGACGCGGCCGTCATCGCCTCTGTCAACCGCGCGCTGCAGTCGCAGCTGGAGACGCTGACGACGAGCGAGGTTGCCATCCCAGCGGTGCAGAAGGGGTTCGCCGTGCTGGTGGGCGACATCGCCGAGGCAGTCCGCGTCTCGGACCGCATCGCGCCCGAGCACCTCGAGATCCAGACCGCCGACGCGCAGGCGGTCGGAGAGAGCTGCGCAAACTACGGCGGGCTCTTCATCGGCGCGCACGCGGCGGAGGTGCTCGGCGACTACGGCGCCGGCCCCAACCACGTGCTGCCGACGGCGGGCACCGGAAAGTACACGGGCGGCCTCTCCGTCCACACCTTTCTGAGGCAGCGCACCTGGATGCGGATCGACGACCTTGTGGCGGCGCAGCGGCAGGTGGAGGACTCGGTGGCGCTGGCGAGGCTCGAGGGGCTCGAGGGGCACGCGCGCGCTGCGGAGCGGCGGCTGATCGCCGACGGGGGCGCGGGCAAGAAGCAGCGCGCGGCATGATGAGCTTGAAATAAGGTGCTTTCGCACCCGGGCGCGTGCGGCGGCGCGGGCGGGCCGGTGTGCGGTGAGCGGTGTTGCCAGTGTTGGGGAGACGAGGGGAGGGGGCGCGCGGGCGCGAGTGGTGAGCCTGCGTCGGCGACCGTCCGTGACACCGGCCCGATCCATCTGAATTTGTTTCTTAAATCGCGTTGTTTCGACGCGAAAGCACATATCCTCCTCGCGCACCTCGGTCGGTCTGCTCGCAACCGCGAACCGCGAACCGCGAACCGGGTCCCGCTGGGTCGCTCTCGGTCTCAAAACGCACACCCGACAGCGACACCGGCGGTCGGCGGTGTGGAGTGTGGTGCCCCCGCCGCTGCGCCGTGTCGAGCCGCTGTGCGTGGGCGTGCTGCCCGCCGCCGGGGGCTCCCTGGGCTGGAATAAAGCGCCGGTGCGGACGCGTACGGGGGTGCAGAAGAAGCCGGGAAACAAAGGCGTCGTGCAGCGCGCTGGCCGCCGCCTCGCGCGAGGCCAAGTCAGCCGACCCGGAAGCCGGCCGCCGCTAGCATCGCCGCCTTCTCGGCGGCGGCGGCTGCGGCTGCGGCGGCTGCGGCGTCGGCGGCGATTTTGATCGAGGCTTGCGCCTTCTGGAGGGCGATCGCCTTGTCGTGCGCGCCGCTCGAGATTGCCTCGTCGCGGTGCCGGCGCAGCATGCGGATCTCCGAGCGGGAGAGCGGCGCGGGTGGCGGCGCCGCCGTGAACCAAGCGTGGTGCAGCGCGGAGGGCGCTGTCGCGCGCTGCTCCGGGTCGGGGGTGAGGAGGGAGTCGAGGAGGTCGAACCCCTCGTTGGCGAGCGCAGTGGTGCGGTGGTGCGCCAGCGCCGGCTGGTTCGGCTCCTGCGCACGCGGGGGGGGGGGGGGGGGGGGCCCGAAAAGGGGGGGGGGTCCGGCCGATGCGTTTCTTTCCCCCCGCGGCGGCGGGGCCGTGTCCCCCCTTTCCAACGGCGGGAAAACGTTTGGGCAACCAGCTTTTTGGCAAGTTTATGAGGGAGCCCGCTCCCGGGGGGGGGGGGGGGGACAACCCCGGGGGGGCAAACCGGGGAAAAAAAGGGGGGAGGGCTTCCCCCAAATGCCCTTGCTGGAGGGAAACCCCCCCCTCCGGGCCAAACCTCCCCTCCTGCCCTTTAAAAATTTGGAAAAGGTTTTAAGAAACCGCGGGCCCCCAGGGGAAAGTTGGCCCCCACCCCCCCCAAGGGGTGCCCCCCCCCTGCAAAGCCCAAAGCAGGCGTGTGCTCGAGGGGGCTGCCGGCGCGCTGTCTCTGCCCGGAGGCGGGGGGAGGGGGGAGGGGCGTGGCCTTGAAGATGACGTTCACCTGCTCCGCCTCGGAGGTCCCCTGGAAGAGGGGCTCGCCTGAGCAGAGGCCGGGGCGGAGCCGCTCGAGGCGGAGAGGGTGCTCCCCCCCCCCCTAGGCCCCCTCCCCCGCCAGCAGTGCCCGCCCGCGTTCTCCCCTCTCGCGCCCCGCCCCTTCCGAGCGCAAGCTGCCGCGCCTCGCTGCAGCCACTCGGCGAGGATGCAGCCCAGCGACCACATGTCCACCGCCTTGCCGTACCGCCGCTCGCCCAGCAGCACCTCGGGCGCGCGGTACCTGAGGACGCACGGAGACACGGGTCGTGGACGGGTCGTGGACGGGTCGTGGACGGGTCGTGGACGGGTCGTGGACGGGTCGTGGACGGTCGGCGCCGGCGCACCAGAGCGACTGCACGTCCGGCGTGCACGGCTGCGCGCCCGGCAGCCCGCTCGCGCGACGGGAGAGCCCAAAGTCGCACAGCTTGAGCACGCCTGTGTGTGGGTGTGTGGGTGGGAGGGGGCGTCTCGCGGTCGGATGGGTGTGAGTGCGGAGTGGCGTGTGTACCGCCGTGCCGCTACTGCCGTGTCGCTACTGGCGGGTCGCCGTTCCGGTCGAGAAGAAGGTTGGTCTGCTTGAGGTCTCGGTGGAGGGTGAAGGTGGCGTGGACGGCGGCGAGGGCGGAGAGGAGCTGCATGCAGAGGCACTTAGCCTGCGCCTCTGCGAAGGGCGTCCTCATGTGCTCTATGAGCAGGCCTGCACTCAGGCGGAGGGAGGGTGGGAGAGGGACGGCCGTAGCCATGGCTCCTGGCTTGCGGCGTGACCGAGGTCGTACTCGACGAGCTCCATCACCAGGAACATCTGCTGCTGGTCGAGGACCACCTCGTGCACGCGCACCTGCCCACGCACGGCCGACCCGTCACCAGGGCTCGCGGCCGTGCGAGCGGCCGCCCCTCGGCGAGCCCGCGCCACGTTCGGGTGGCGGAGCGAGAGCAGGATGGACATCTCCCGCACCTGACGCAGCGCGGGCGCGGTGAAAGAAGACCACGGCCCGCACCACCCCTGCCCTCCCCCTCCTCCCGCCCTCCCCTCCCGGCACGCCCTCACCCTCTACCTCGGCTGTCCCTGCACCTCGGCTGTGCCTCGGCTGTACCTCTGCTTGTGCCTCGGCTTGTGTCTCGGGTGTACCTCGGCTATGTCTCGGCTATGTCTCGCCATCTCGAGGGGCACGCCCTCGTCCACGTCGACCTACAGAGGAGCTCACACGCGGCTCCAGGAAGGCTCGCGGGAGGGGGCACGCCTTCCGCCCCGCCCCCACCCCGCTGCTCGGCAGCAGCTGCATCGCCTTGAGGGCGACCAGCTCGCCGCTCTCTCGGTGCCGCGCCTGCCCGAGGGGCGCGAGAGGGGGCAGGCGGGGGGCGTCAGGTGGGGGGTCGGTGGGCGGCGGGCGCCCCTCCCTCCCTCCCGCGCGCCTTGTAGATCTTGTTGAAGGCGCCCCGCCCCACCACGCCGAGGTTCTCGTACACGTCGATCGAGCGAAGCGCCGCCTCGGAGTCGCGCAGCCGCTTGAGGGTCCCAACCTCGTACCGGCGGCCAAAGGTGTAGCTGCCGCGCCGCGTCTCGCCCGCCTCCGCCTCGCCCGACGCCGAAGCCTCCCCCGCCCCCGCCGCGGCGGCAGGCGCCGCCGCCCGCCCGGGGCCCCATCGCCCCGACCGGCCGCTGCTGCTCGGCGCAGCGGCCGCGTCGGCCGGCGCAGCGGCCGGCGCCGCGCCCAGCGACTGGCCAATCGCGGCAGCGGCCGAGGCGGCGGCGGCGGCGGCGCCGTGCAGCGAGTCCGCTCCGGTCGGGACGAAGCGCCCCGGCGTCGGCGACGACAGCTGCGCGCGAGACGCGAGCCCGGGACGCGGGAGGGCCGCGGCGCGCGCCTCCGGCTTTGGCGTCGCATCGTCGTCAAGGTCGCCGGCACTGGCGGAGGCAAAGAGCTTGTTCGGACGCGCCAGCTTGCTCCCGCCCAGCTTGCTGCCCAGCTTCATGCCGACGCCGCCGACCTTGCGACCGAGCTTTGATGGCGCAGCGGCTGGCTTCGTTGCGGCGCCGCCGCCGAAGAAGTTGTCCTCGGGCGGCGGCGGCGGCGGCGGATCGGGCGGCAGTGGCGGCGCCATATGTGTGTGTACAGGGCGCGCCGAAGTGGGAATAAGAACTTGCGGCGCAATAGGACCGCCGCAAGCGGCGTGGCGTGGGGCGGTTGAGCATCCCTCCGGGGGCCCCTCTGCGCCGGGGAGGCGTTGTTGGAGGCTAGGACGCAGCGCCCGTCGCCTTTTTCAAACTCGGGGCCCACTCCGCTGTGCGCTCCGACCCGAATTTGGAGAGGGCCATGAAGTTTAAGGTGTTGCTGCGCAAAAGGGGCGGGGCGCGCAGGCGCGCGCAGCCCGCCGAGAGCTCTTTTTGGAGACCAGACCGTTCGGTGGTTCATGCTTTCTATGTCTATCTATCATGCTTCATGACACGACACGCGGTGGTGGGAGCTGGTGGAGCTGTCAGCTGATCGATCCAAACGGGTGGCGGTGGGGAGTGGGGGGCATGGCTGGGCATGCAGGTCCGCCAATCGGCCCGGCCTCTGACGTGGTGCTGCCGCTGCATTCGCTGAAGAAGAGAGGTGCGGCTTGATTGGAGGCGCTGCCGCTGGAGGCGATGGCGCTAGCGAAGGGAGGTTGGGCCGGGCCGTGAGGGGCTGATGGCGCTGGCCAGCGCGCGGGGTGTGAGATGCCGTCGTCGTCGTATACTGCTGGCCCTCGCCCTCAGTTGCCAGGGCTGTGGGCTGCACAATTGGCGTTTGTGGCGTCTACGCAGGCTCTGCAGCGTGATGGCAGGCGGGACTGCGAGGCCGGCGGCAGCGGAAGGAGAGGCTGGGCACGAGCCAGGAACAGGCTGGCCAGGTCCGCAGGTGGCTGCGCTCGGGCGAGGCGCGCGCGCACATGGCAGGCCGAGCAGGCTCGGCATATGAACCCCGATGTCGCGATGGCGGTCCCGCTTTTCCGCGATCATTTCGTCCGTGCAATCGAAGGAAGCGCCGGATCGCCCAACCATGTTATGGAGTTTGCCAAACTTGCCCCGCCGTTCTTCGTCCGACGTTCAGTGGTTTTTGCACGGTGTTCGGATTTTCGCTATTTGGTCGTGTGGGTGTGAATTCCGGGATTAGTCAATGGTACCGCGTCGGCGACGCGGGCGCCTTGCGGGCAGCCAGAGCCCTTAGCCACCCTTTTTTGCGCGGTCAAAAGAGAGAAAATAACAAATCGACAACTCCCTCTCTCACATGACAAGCGATCCCACGACAGCGAGTGTGGGGACTACATGATCCGTACGTGAAGGGTGGAGGGGCCCGTCCGCAGAGCTAGGCGGCGCGGGCACCCCACACTGGGGCCGAGGACAAGAGGCCGTTTGCCGCTTGCTTGTTCTTGATCCAGTTGGTGCGCATCTTGCGCGCCTGCTTGTTGATGTTTTCGGCGTCGCCCGCCACCGCCCGCCATGGAGATCTGCTGCGTGTGGTGGACGACAAAGCTCAAAGGAGGAGGCGCTCGCCGACGCCGCCCCATACACCGTCCGGTCCGTGTTGGTGCCCACCGCTTCCTTGGCGAACACGTGGAGGAACTGCTTGCATGGTGGGCGGCGCAATGCCACCCAAAGTTTCCACGAGCACCAGCCGCACTTGGAGCACTTGGAGTGCAGTCGGTAACCTCACATCCAGGGCCGAGGAGCTAAGAAGCGCACCCAGCGGGCCGGATGATCGGGATCGGGTTACGGGCTAGAGAGCCCTAGCCCCGGGGGTGCGCGTTCGCAGGGAAAGGGCCGTAAAAGTAAACACGGGTCTCCGAGGGTTGGACCCGCGTACCGGGTTTCCCCTTAACTGCAGGACACCTCCTCCAATCGGAGCTACTGGAAATCACACTGTACACCACGCCCAAACACACAGACACTTGCTTAGTCCTCGGTCCCGGAGCTCCCCCTTCCGTCCTCCCGGGGCTCCGGTTCTCCCCGATTCGTTCTTAGTTATGGCTTTCTTGACCCACTTCGCGTCGTAGTACTGCGCCCCCCTCCACTTCCAGCCCGTATCCGTCTTGACCCACCCCTTTCCATACGCGTGGTCTTTGACCCATCCCTTTCCAGTCGAGTGGTCGAGCGGTCCGTCCACCTGACGGCCACGCTCCTTGCACCCCACGACCCCCGTCAACGCCCTGTCTAGCGTGTTTCCAAAGCAAAAGAGAAATGGCGCTCGATCCCACCGTGGAAGTGTGGCGGCAAGAAAAGAGGGGTTGCTCCCCGAATGTCTGAAAAGAATTCGATCAGGCGTCCGATCCGATGCTCTCCGCCCTGCGGTGCCGCTCAACGAGCACGCTGGCGCGCATGGGCTCGCGTCACTGCTCATATAAAGGGCCGCCGCTTGCGCCGCACAGTCGGCCTAGCGAGGCGACCGTCAAGCGCCTCGCAGCTGAAGCCGAGATGCAGCAGAAGATGTGGGACCTCTTTGTGCCGGAGGGCGGCATCCGGTTCGGCGACCGCCGCTTCTGGGTGCTGTTATCCATCGTGCTGGGCGCGCCGCTGCCCACTCACGCCCTTCCCTCCTAGCCGCCGCAACCGACTCTTTCTTTCCTGCCAGGGCTCCATGCAGCAAACATGTACAAGGACAGCCGAAAGCCGCGCGATCTGGGGCTGCCGGAGGGCGCGGTGCGGAGGCTACCCGACGGCGGCTTGCTGCTGGCCGACGGATCGATTGCGAAAAATGCCGAGGCAGCACCCGCGGCGCAGCACACGTTGCATCGGGTCAGGGAGGTGTGACGCCCTTGCCGCCCACCCAGCGCCGCCGCCGGCCACTCTCAGCCCCGTCGCTCCAGCAGCTCCCGCGCCCTCCGCCTCGCAGGCCGGCGAGGACGACACCGCACTCGGAAGTGCGCTGCGGAAAATGAAGGACGCTGTGTGAGATGTTGTGTGGCGTGGTCGGAGTGTGTTTTTCGCGCCCGCGGCTCGCCGCTGCGAGTCGCGGTGCGACGGCCGACGGGACCGACGTGCGACGACGTACCCGCGCGCGCGGCCGCGGGGGGGGGGGGGGGGGGCGGCGAGCCTAGCGAGATTAACAGTAAACAGACAGCCAGGGCACGCGCGGCGCCGGGGACGCCACTTTTTTGCGGCATATGCGCATAATATTGCCCATGCGGCATGCGATGGGGGACTCACGGCCGAGCCCCCGGCGGCCGTCGCGCAACCGACCGGGGTGCGCTGTAGAGGGTGCGCAAGAGTGCCAATCTCGTGGAGAGAGCCCGCGGCACGTGTCAGAGGTCGAGCACCTCCCGTAACCTCGCGATCCGCCTCGAGCGGCGCGCGAGCAGCAGCAGCAGCGCGGCCCACACCACGTCGTACGCCTTCCACTTGAGCCACGGCTCGAGCTCGTCGCTCGCCGCGAAGAAGAGCTCGAAGAGCCGCGCCAGCCAGACGACCCACTCTGCGGCCGCGCCGTCCCTACAGGCTCGCCACGCTCGGCTCTCACGCACCGTCGGCCACATGCCGCCCTCCTCGGCCTCAGGCGCACGCACCGGGCGGCGGGCAGCAAGCGGACGGCCCACCGGACAGCCCTCTCGCGCCTCGCCGCCGCCGCCTCGTCCTCCTCCTCCTCGTCCGGCCCCGCCGCGGCCGCCTTCTCCGCAAGCACCGCCGAGCCTGGGGCGTGAGGAGGGCGGCTGGGCGGCGGGCAGAGCGGCGGCGCTGCCCTCTGCGCCCTGCCTGCGCCGCTGCGAGGACTGGACCGGACGCTGTCCTTGCCGGCCTCTTCATACGGCAAGTAGGACGACGACCTGCAGCCGCGCGGGAGAGACGGATGCCCCACCCGCCCCGAGCCCGGAGGCGGCTAGCGGGCTGCTGAAGGTGCACGGGAGGGCGGCTGAGGGCGGCTGAGGGCGGCCAGAAGGCTACGAGGGAGGGGGGGGGGGGGAGGCACAGACGTCTCGTCGACGCCGCTTCCCGAGTCGGCGGCGCCGGCGTGAGGCGGCGGATGCGCCTTCGAGCACACGTCCGGACGAGGATCAGGGCGGAGGCGCAGGGGGCGCCGGCAGGCGCGAGCGCGTTCTGCCCGCTGCAGCCGCGCGACTCGCTCGGCGACGGCCAGCTTTGCAGAGCCGGGCGTGGCGTCGGGAGGGCTGGCGTCCGCTCTCCGCGGCGGCGGCGAGGGCGTCGATGGCGGCGAGGCGGCGGGAGCGCGGGGCGCGTCGGCGACAGAGGGCGGCCGCGAGCCAGACGAGGACGAGCGCGGAGAGGGCAGCGCTGAGGGCGGCTGCAGCAGCAAGCGGACGGAGAGCCGGCAGACAGAGGCGGCGGGCGCAGCCTCGTGCAGGCTGGAAGGGATCTCCCGCCGCTGCTCGAGCGCCTCCACCACCTCCTCCTCCTCGAGCGGCGCCGAGAGGATCAGCACCCGGTCCTCGTTGAGCGAGCTAACAGCGAGGAGGCTGCCCGGAGGCCCGAGCAGCGACAGGCTCACGCGGAGCGTGCCGCCTGGCGGGATGGCTGCAATGTTGGGGCGCACGAGCCAGCGCCGCGGAGCGTTGGTCTTGGCCTTGTAGCCCAGCGGCACCTCGGATGTGTTTGCCAGCAGCAGCGTCGCAGTGAGTGCCGGCGCCACCATGTCGAACTCCATCTCGCTGACGCTGCGCTCGGAACCGAGCTGCAGCGCCGGTGAGGTCGTGAAAGAGGCGTCCGACAGCGATAACGGCAGGGGACGCTCCGCCTCGAGGCTCATTTTGCCCGCTCGAGGCTCAAACCGAAATCGGCCGCGCTTCCGGCCTCTTGAAAAGAATTGTGGCACGCCAGTACAGTCAGTGTCGTGCGAGACAGAAAAGAAGTCCCGGGGCTTCCCATCTTTAACGGGAGTTGAAGGAAAGAAACACCGGGCAAAGTGGTCGCGGAGAAATCGAACTCGGCTTAAAAGCCGAGCGTCGCGCGAACGCTTGCGGCATATTCGGGCCAGTCGAGGAACGCCTAACGAGCCAACGCGGCAGTGGTGCGGCAATCGCGGTGCTGAGCCCTCGGCTCCGCGCCTCCCTGCCCAGCCCGCCTCCTTCCTCCCCACGTCGCGCCACTCCCTCATGTGCCCCAAGCCAAGCACGCGGTCGTGGTGCGCGAGAAGCAGCGGGAACGCGCCAAAGAGCGCCTTAAGTCTCTCCTCGCCATAGACGTGGCGCACAAAGTCGAGCACCTCGAGCGGGCGGCAGGGGAATCAGCGGTGGGGAGCGGGCAAGGAGAAGAGAGTGTTCCTCATAGGTGAAGGGTCTAGTCCTTAGAGTGAGACGCCTCATACACGGCACAGTCGGCCAGCGACGGGGTCGCGCCCAGAAAGTAAGGCTTCCCCTCGCCCAGCAGCGCCTCCCACCGAGGCGCGAAGCGGCCGAGCAGCCCTTTCGGCGACTGAAGCTCCTCGAGGCAGCGCTGCTCGTCGAGGTGGAACGGGAAGCTCACGAGCGGGCCACGGGCGTCCTGCGTCGCTGCGAGGATGTGCCCGCAAATGTACTGCTCCTTTGGCATTTCGGGCCACAGGCCACAGCCCTGCGCCAGGTAAACCGCGGTCGGAGTACCCTGCACGAGATTGAGCCCGTCTGCCTCAACGAGCGGCACCTGGTCGTACTCCAGCTTGCCGGAGGCCTTTAGGGCATCCATATCCGCCTTCTTCTCAAGGTACTTGCCGACAAATCGCACACCTCCGCAGGCGAGCACGACTCGCAACGGCTCACAGCGTCCACGGCCGCGCCAATATGTCACGGTCGCGGCTGTCAGCGCCATGCACAATGCCGGCGAGCACAACTGGGTTCCGGCTCCCTGCCGGAGAGGGGGTCTGCGTACACTGACTCGCGGCAAATTTCCTACCTACCGCACAGGGAAGCAACTATCCGGTCTATCCCCACCAAAGAAGAATGACGAGGTGGGTGAATGGGCCCGGGGTTGTGCGTTTACGTGAATGGCGCAGAAAGGAAACGGTCGACCCCGTCGGTGAACGCGACGCTGCCGCTGAGCAACGTTCAGGCCCGGCCCCCTGCCGGGGCCGTTCGGCCGATGATTTCGCGACGGCAGGGTGACAGCGGCGTGCTGCCAGGAGCGGCGCAGGAGCCACCGCTCCCGAGCGCCGGCTGGGGTTACCTCAAGAGTGACACGGCAGCACTGCCCCTCGAGGTGGCGCCCCGCCTGGGGAGGCACGGCCGCCTGCTTGCATCCCTGTATTAACCGTCCACCCTGTCCCGCCTAGTCTGGGCGCTGCTACACGGTTGGGCGCCGGCCCGATTCCGACCTCGTGCTCAAGAGTCGATCGGTCTCAGGAGAGCGGAAGCAGAACGCATTGCACGCCGAGCCCTCACCAGCCACACCCACCCACCCTCCCACCCGCTGCCGAGAGCAAAGATTAGCTGCTCCTTTGGGCCTGTTTGTGTGCAGCATCTGGCCCTTCTGTCCGACAGGCGAACATGCGATGCTCGAAGTCGATGGCTCTGGCCGCACCGCGGCTCTCCGTGACCTGGGGTCGCTCAACGGTTGCTTCCTCAACAACGTGCGCCTGCGCGACACGCGTGAGCCGCTGCGCCACGGCGACAATGTCCGATTTGGCTTTGACTCCCGCGTCTGGACCGTCGATTGCACTGGCGAGACGCCCTAGAAGTCTCGCTCGATCTCTCTCCCGCCCCCCCCCCCCTCCCCCGGAAAACCCGACCGGTCCTTGACAAGTCTGGTCGCGGACGTCACGACCGCTATCCTGCCTTAGGTGAGCGCCTTGCTGCTGAAAGGGCAGCGGCTGCGAGAGCATCCTCCGCAGGACAACGGGCTCAGGCCTCTCTCTTGCAACCTTGCGCCAACAGGGAGCGCGACGCATCACGCCGCCGCATCGCCACCGTAGGCTCATGCAGCTGGGCTGCCGCGCGATGACGGACGCACCGCGTGGTTCAGCAGCTCGTCTCAAGGCGCGAGCCCAGTCCGCCGACCGCCTGCTGAGCTTCAGTCTGGCGCTCGGCCCAACGAGGCCTTCTTTGCACGATCCGTTTCCCCGCCGCCAGGGCCGCCGCCGCCACCACCGCCGCCGCTACGCGATTCGGAGCAGATGCGAACGAGCGAATCGTACGAGGGCGAGCCTGTTGAGGGCCCGTTCGGGAACGTGCCACCTCCAGCGAGAGCGCCCCTCCAAGGTGCCCCTCCGCCGTGGCGAGATGGTGATGCTGGCAAAGACAAGGGCGTTCAGGGTAGCAGCTCCATCCGGCATGAGCTCGACACGCTTCACGACCAGGTCCGAGCGATGAGCGCTTCCGTGCGCGATGCCGAGGAGCATCCCAAATCGCCCCTTGGGAGGCGCGAGGCGCGGCGGAATGCCGCTGCCGCTGCCGCCGCAGCTGGTCGCTCCCCAGGGGCTGAGTCATCGCGCGCGGCACGGCTCGAGGCAGTTGCCGTTACGCAGCAGCAACAGCTGCTAGCGGTGCGGGCGCGCCTCAGTAAGACCGAGCGTCGGGTACTAGCTCTCTCGCAGCGCGACGATGGCAAGGCAGTGCTTCTCGCTGAGGCAGAGGCGCGCTCGGCGACGCAGGTGCGCCGTCGAGGGAGTTAGCCCCGTTGGAAGCAAGAGGGTTGAGATACACACTCGGCCAGAGTACTAAGCGGTGCGTGGCGAGACTTGATGGCATCTGTACGCTAGGCGTGCCGCCTTCGAGACGAGGAGGTGGCACAGCTTCGTTCTTCGCTTGCTCAGCTCGAGTATGCCGCAGCTGCAAGCAAGGTGGGCGCGGTGAGTGGGTACGGGAAGAGTGACTTTGGCGGCAGCCTCGGCAGCAGTAGTGGCGGCGGCGGCAACTGCGGCGCGCTGCCCGCCGAGCTGCAACAGTTCGTGGTTGAGCGCGCGCGGGAGGTGTCGATGCTGCGGGAGAGGCTTGCGCGCGCCCAGAGCGCAAATCAGGCCTCCTCTCGACGTTGGGGCAGAGTTTCTCCTTTTCGACACGAGTCTTCCCCAACCTCTCTCGAGTGTGACTCTCCCATTCAACCTTAGGCGCACTCGAGCGCGAGTTGATCGCCACAAAGAAACAACGGGAGGAGGCAGAGGTGGCTGCCAAAACCGCGTACGAGGCTGAGGCACGAGCGCGCGAGGCGGCGTCTGAGGCGGCGGCGCGGGCTGAGCGCGAGACGGCGTCGCTGCACGAACAGGAAATCTGCGCATCGGACCGGAAACCACCCATGTCCATGTACTCTAGTATCCGACCCAACGCACGCACGCCGCGCTCACGAGTCAGATCCTGTGGCTGATGCCTCAACACCGCACACAGGTCGCTGCCCTCGCTGGTGCCGGCGGCGAGGGCGCACGCGGCGGACGCGCTAAGGCAGCGGAGTTTGTGGTCTCTCGACTTCGCGATGCCTCGGTGCACAAGAGCGTCCTGGCCGAGAGGAGGGCTCGAATTTGATTGGGATAATCGTGGTGAGTAGGCTCGGCAGGCGGAGCTGTCCATCGAGGTTAGCTCACTCCGCGAGGCGCTCGCTGCGAAGGAGACCGAGCTGAAGGCCGAGGTGGCGCGGCGGACCTCGGTAGAGCGCGAGGCGCTAGCTGCACCCCGCAGCGGCGAGCCCGAGTGTGCCACCATCGAGCGCCTGCAAGACGAGCTTCGCGAGCTGCGTGAAGGGTGGGCTCTGCCCGTTCGCCCAACCAAGATACCCCAATCACCGATGTTTGACGCCCCCTCTCGCGATCGCTCGATCGTGGCGCAGGGCCGACCCTGAACGGCGGGAGAAGGAGGGGGCCGTGGTCCAAACGCTCTTTGCCGAGCTGCACGCGGAGCGCAAGCACGTGGCCGATCTCGAGGCCTCGAGCGGAACGCAGCACCTCGGCAACGAGCTAGGTGTCAACGCCGTCCTCGTTCGCTACAGGCGGCGCTCGCCTTTGGGAGCGAAGATCTTGAAACTTCGCTCCTCTCCCTGCCCACCGACGGTGGTTGCACGCAACCCGCCTGATGCACGCCAGTAGCGCTGCTGAGGTTGCGTTTTGCACTCGTAGGCGGGCCAGCCGAGCGTGTGCTCGCGCAGGCAACTCTCCCGATCCCACTCCACTAGCCGCACAATCTTCTCTCTCCGCAGTCCACTTTCCGTGACATGGCCAAACAAGTCTCCCTTGCCTGCCCTGCAGCTGCTGCATGGCAAGGAACTGGAACTGCGACAGATGGAGCATCAAGTAGCCCTGCTTGGCGAAGCCGCACTTGCAGAGACTCCGGTCGCCGAACCCACCGCCCAGGCTTCAGATCCCTCTGCGCATTCTTGCGCCAACGCCGCTACTGCTGCCGAGGAGCAAGAGAATGGAGCCCAGCAGGCGCGCATGGGCCAGGATCGCACGGTTCTTTCACTCCTTGAGCGTTTCCATGGTGGGATAGGTCCCGCCACCAGCGCCTTTTGTCCAACAGCCGCTTGCTGCTGCGCCGCTGCTCAAGTCTGCTCCCCCGCGCGAGCCAGCTCGCGAGACCGCCGTGGTTGTGGAGGCACCGGAGCCAATGCCAACTCCATCACAGGCCGAGACGGAGGCAAAGCGTGTCAACGAGGTGACCGGCGAGGCAGAGGAGGCCAGAGAGGCCATGGAGGCCGAGGTGCCGCAACGTGCGTTGGCCGTGGATGAGCCCAACGGGGAGGGGGGCGACGCAGCCACGATGAAACCTGCTGGCTCTCCGGCTTCTGTAATCGAGGTTGCGGGTGAAGCAGAGTCTATTGGCGGGGACGAAGGCGAGCTAGGCAGGCCCGGGTCCGCGGGCGAGGAGATAGCCAAGCTAACCGCCAGCGCACCGACAGAGGTTCAAAAGGCGGACGCACCAGAGGCGGTGGATGTCTCAGACGTTGTGCCAGGAGCAGGTAGCGAGCCCGTGGTGGGCGAGACTGAGGTGGCAGCTGTGGGCGAGGAGGTGGCGCCAGGATCGGCAAATGTCGGGGGCGAGGCGACGCCGCAAGGTGAGGCGGTGACGGAGGAAACGTCTCTCGATGGCACAGATGCGGAGGCCGAATCAGGCGCCGAATCAGGCGCGGTTCGCGTGGAGGCTGAGCATGATGATGCGCAGACGGAGAGTGTGATTGACCCCCCGACGGACGCGGGAGAGACAGAGGCGGGCGAACTGGGCGAGCCCGAGGTGGCAGAAGAGCCGGGCAAGACCGAGGCGGAAGATGCAGAGGCGGAGGCGGCAGAGGAGGGAAGGGAGGCCCAAGAGGCAGTGATCGAGGCGGATGGGCATAGAGAGGGTACGACAGAGCCTGACGCGGAGGCGGCGAAGCGGGAGGAGGAGGGCGGAGAGGAGGCGGAAGAGGCGGAGGGCGACAAGGAGGCGGCGTCTGAGGAGGCTCAAAAGGCGTCTGCGGATGCGAGCGAACCGGCCGGTGCCGGCAGCGAGGAGGCTCCAGGCGAAGCGGACGGTGGTGCAACAACCGAGGACAGTGGAGCCGAACCACAACCAGGCGCCGGGGGTGGGGCCGCGCCGCCGCCGGTGGCTGCACCTGTCGAGTCGGCGCCCGGGGGAGGGGAGCTGCAGGGCGAGGGGCCAGAGGCAGAGATAGCTGCACCCATCGAGGCGGCGCCCGAGGTAGGGGAGGGGTCAAAAGCAGAGCCAGAGAGGCGGTAGAGTAATGCTTTTGCGCGTGAAGTGTTACTACCGACGCCGCTCACCCGCTCTGCGACGCCACATAGAGCGCCGAGAAGCCCTTTCCCAATTACAAACTCACGCGTTACCCTCCGACTCGGCATACGTAAGAGCCGTGCGACGCTCACACCACTTCGACGCGCTCGATCATAGTCGGCAGAGCCCATCATTCGCCCACTGGGCTGTGGCAGATCCTCACGCCGCGCATGACGCCTACGTCCCTCGTTCTCTCATACTGTGCAGAGCGTGGTGCGGTCGGCGGGGCGCGGCGGGTCAAGGGCTGGCGCCGATTGGCGATTCAAGCAACCGAGGAGCCCGACAGATGTCATGTGCGTGTTCTCGAAGCAATCGCGGGATGGTCGCGTTTAGCTTGTCTCACGTCATCAGTGGCTCCCATGGTCAATCATCGCCAGCTGCAGGTGGTGCGAGAGGCTGTTGGCCCAAGCCACGTCGCTGTGCTCCGCGGACTGCGTGCGTCCGAGAGCCTCGGCCAGCAAGACGGCAAGCCCATGCTTGCACGCGAGCGCGTCCGGCCGTGTGGCGACCTTGTGGCAATACGAGGCGCACGTGCAAAAGCTGGGCAGGCACACGTGCGGGTGCGCCCGCTTGGAGCCACTCGAGGCGCTGACAAGGTGAAAGACCCGGCGGCTCTCTTGCGCGACCACGCGCTGCACGGTTCGATGGTCCACAATTTCGGCGGCGCCTTGAAGCGCCTCAGGGCACAGGAACGCGAGCAGCTTCCAGTGCCGATCCGAGGCTGCGCGGGAGGGCGCCGGGAACGGTGAGAACTGTGGAGCGCGGTGGCGGGCGGCGCGGTGCGGCGGCAAACACACCGCTGCCCGTCGCAGCGATATCGTCGCAGACGCCCTGCAAGAGGGCCAGGGAGCTCTCGGGCAAAGAGCTTGCCGACATCGCACAATTTTCGCGCCGCTGGGTAGCGACTTGGGCAGGGAGGGTACGAGTGCGCTGCCTGCTGATCTGGCAGTGTGTCGCTCGAGCGTGTCGTCATCATCTGTCCCGCGTCCACCCATACCGCGTTGGTGTCCAGTCCGAGCCTGACTGTTCTTCACCTTCCTACATCTGGCACGCTCGCGTCGTTCGTGCTCTTGCAGCTGGACGCGGCGATCTCATGGCGCTGCGGGCTCGGGAGGTGGTCTGTACTGCTACGCATATGTAGTCGCCCAGAATGTACAGATCGGCCATGTTATGTAAATACGCGCCCGCGATCCATAGTGCGTCGGCCAGACGTCGCGTATTTCGGTGTCGTGCCCAAGCCAAGTGGCGCCTGAGGGAGCTACAAATGTCTTGCGTATTACGAGTCTGTCTTCTGCATCCACCTTCGGCCGATCGGGGTGTGCCTCTCAGCCTGACAGCAACCCCCGGACAGCGCCTGACAGCGCCCGACAGCCTGACAGCGCTGACAGCACTTTCTCCGACAGCCTGACAGCACGTATCTGACATGCAGCGCTGACAGCAGAGTCTGAAATCAGAGGTGCTCCGTCGCTGTCAGGCCCCAACGTGACAGCCTGACAGCTGCCCGACAGCCCGACAGCACACAGTGGCCTGACAGCAGCGCTGACAGCCCGACAGCCCGACCAGCCCGACAGCAGCACAGACCGTACATAGGCCGTGCAGCCTCTTTCTTGTGCCCCATGAGGGTATTACAAAACTATTACATGCAAAGACACATGTGAGTGTGGTCCATGCAGTGTCATGGGATGGTCATGCCTCATGGGTCTCTCTCTCAACCCTCCCGCCCCACCTCTGCGGACCCGCGGCTGTGCTACAACTACAAATGAAGCTACCAGCTAGCCTTCTGGGGCCCTACAGCCATATGCCTACGGCGTCTGGATGGGGGTGGCCGCCGCCGTCTGTGCCGCCGCCGCCGGCCCGCCGCCTGCGCCTGCGCCGCCATCTGCGCTCCCCAGGCGGCCGCCGCTGCCGGGGCGTGATCACGCCGTAGGAGGGGGGCAGCTGCGTAGCCGCCGGCGTCATCGGCGTCAGCGCCCCCGCCGCCGCCTGGCCAGCAGCACAACGGGGTCTTCATCAACGACGCCAAGGGCCTCTTTATCCTCCGGTGGTACCGTGAGGGAAAAGGGTGACGGGACCCCCCGCAGACGGCCCGCGCTACCAGAACAGAGCGTGCAAGTACTACAAGCTGACGAGCGACAACGATGGGGAGGCCTTCCAGACTCAGTGCGGCAGACAAGAAGATCTGGTGACGTCCACCATGAAGAAGATGGTGGGACCGGAGGCAGAGTAGGGACTAGAGTATGTGTAGCAGAGTCCTGCTGGTCTCCTCTTGATAGTGTCATAAGTGTGGCTGGTGTGTGCCAGAGCCTGACAGCACCCCGACAGCACCACCTGACAGCACCTGACAGCACCGGCCTACGTCTGACAGCAGCAGCAGCCTGACAGCTCTGACAGCCCCGACAGCGTCTGACAGCAACACCCGACAGCTCCGACAGCACCCGACAGCTACAGAGCACCTCTGATGTCAGACACGCACCCGACAGCACCCGACAGCACTGACAGCACCTGACAGCTGGTCTGACAGAGGCACCTGACAGTGCCTGACAGTGCCCGACAGCCCGACAGATCACCTGACAGCACCTGACAGCCTGACAGCCAGGGCTCAGCCTCCTTGCATATGCGTAGCAGTACAGACCACGATTGGCGGGCTCGGGACGGCGGCCTTGGGGGGTAGCCGGGCTAGGCGGTAGCGCTATGCCTGGTCCCTGGATGTGTGCACGCAGGGTTGGTGGACTAACATTAGCACACCTCAGGGGCAGCACTGACTACAGATGGTGCCAACACTTGGCGCAAAGGTCGGTGTTAGCACAGTCGAACGGCAGTCCCAAAACAAGCGTTAGCACAGCCGTTAGCAGGGTAAAACCTGGGTATACCTGCAAAAAACCAGGTACCAGCAGGTTTTTTGCAGGTATACCCGAGAAATACCTGGGTCCGCGTCAATGCCGCGCGCGCCCTACTCCCAGGGCCCCTGCGCCAACTGCGGCTCGCACCGCCTGCTCAAGTACGCGCACCGCACCATGTGCGCTCGCTACCGGTGCCAAAAGGCAGCATCGGCGCTGCGCCAGGCGCGGCTGGCAGGTGGCGGTGCGGACGATGCGGTTGTGCCGACATTCTGCTTCAAGATTGAGGCAGTGTTCGGCATGCGCTTCTGCGAGCCCGAGCAGCTCATCGCAAAGAAGCGGCGCAACAGGCTGGCTGCTGCCGACAAGGCCGTGTGCTACCTCACGCGAGGCACCTTCAAAGAGGACAGCAATGACGCTGGATTCACCGACAACGCGCTGGGTGGAGCTCGAGGAGCTGTACGAGAACTGTGGCAAGACGCCGGCCCGCTGAAGAATGGACATGTTCGCAATCGCAGCTGCGGGTGTGAAGTGAATATGACCACATGCCCGCCTGTTTTTTAATAAAACCAAGGGCAGCAACAGCCCCTCCCCTCCCCAGACAGGCGGGTCCAACCAAGGTAGATGACTCACGCACACAACGAGACGAGCGCGCCGTACACCAACCCCGACACACGCACCTCTCTAGAGGCAGTCCTCCGCCTTGTGCTCATACTTGATGGGTGCGGCGGCCGGGTGGGCCTGGCGACCGCGCTTGCTGCCCTTGACGAGCTGCCGCCCTCGCCGCCGCCCTCGCCGCCGCCGCCCTCGCCGCCGCCGCCCTCGCCGCCACTCTCGCCGCCGCCCTTGCCACCGCCCTCCTCGCCGCCAGCCTCCTTGCCGCCGCCACCCTGGCCCGGGGGCTCCTCAGGCGAGTCGACCCGCTGGCGGAGCGGCAGGGCGCCCTCGCTGCGCACGCCGCTGGCGTTGTACGCCTCGAGGCAGGGCTTGCCGCAGAAGTACTCGCCTTCTTCTGGCATCCACACCATATCGCACGCCACCCACGAGTGCACCGGCAGTTTGCATTGCTTGCAGCTGTGTGCCGCTGCATTCTGGTGCTCGAAGACCAGCTTGCATGCAGCACAAGCACGCGGCTCGTCGTTGCCGTTCATCGCGCTGCGGCCAGTCTCAGCACCGCCCAGCGAGCGCGTGGGCGTGTGGTCGCGTGACAACTCTGGACTCTGGTAGCGCTCGCTCCTTCAAAGAATTCGCGCCTAAGCCTCCCCACCCCTCTAACGGAGCGTGCCAACACCTCCCGAGTGGCAGTGTTAGCACGTTCTAACACCTCTGCGGCTGTGTGGTGTTAACCGTTAACGTGCCAACACCGTTCTAACATTAGTCCACCAACCCTGGTGTGCAGTGGGGCAAAGGGGGGGGGTAGGGGGTGAACCTCCAATCCCCTTAGGCTGTATCCCATGTTTCCTCGCGCACCCCGTCTCGTTTCCTTCCGTGTTTCTCCACAGCACCCTCTCGTTTCCTCTCTAGTTTCCCGAGGAAACTCCGTGGAAATCAGCTGGTTTGGGCCCCAAATCAGCCAAATCGGCAAAATACCGGGTTTGCCCCAGACCAGCTCTCAGACTGAGGGAAACTCGAGAGTTGCCAGAATGGAGCACCAAACACCCTCTAGTTTCCCTGGAAATTTCCGGAAGCGCAAAGTGCTGGGGACCCTCTCGTTTCCTTTTTGGTTTCCGGAAACATGGTCATTGATACAGGCCAACAAACAATCAATCAATCCCCGAGGCGACTGCCGCCTACCCTACCCCCCAAACATCTCCAGTTTTGGGTTCGGACTCTAATGCGGCGTAAGGAACGGGCTCGTACGAGTTGAACTCCTCTCCCAATTGACCTCCTTTTAGAAAACGGAAAAAGAAGTCGTGGCGCCACGTAAAATTCCCGCGTTCGTAATTGTTGTGCACGCGTCCTCGTTGCTGGCGGACCGATCGCGCAGCGATGGACCGGATCGCCAGCGGCATCAAGGACTGCACGGCGGGCTGCAAGGCTAAGTGTGCAAAGTGCGGCCAGTCGCCCTGTTGCGCAAAGTGCGGCTCGCCCTGCTGCGGCACGTCGCCCTGCTGCAAGAAGAGCATTGCGCCCGTCAAGCCGATTCCCAACAGAAACCCAGGAGACCCTGACTTTAATGATTCGGACGGGAAGACGCTCGCCGGACGATTCCTACGCGGTGGCCTCGAGATTTTCAAGCACACCATCCGGTACGAGCTCGGCAAGGCGCTCATCGGGCTGTGCACGACAAACGTGAGTGGCTCCCGAGCCGCGAGTCCCCCAAGCACAGCACACAAAGGCCGACACCCTCAGCCCCGTCCCACTGCTCGCCATGCTCGCCAGGTCTCCATCGTAGCAAGTCCGCTGGTGCAGGGGGTCGACTTAGCAGCTCAAACCAAGTGTTTGGTGGATCTAAGCAAGTGTTACAGGTTCAGCCCCGTCTCAGAGGAGCGCGCGAGGCTGTTGCTGCAGCACGGCGGTGTCTACCAGTCGCAGCTGACAGGTCAGGCAGCGGGGCAGCTCAGGGACGCTCTCGCGGAGGAGAACGTAGTTGCAGAGATTGGCGGCGGCTTGCCATTACCTCCATATACGCTCAAGGCAAGTTTCGCCTCGCTCGAGGAGGTGCGCCTGTGTCTCCGGCCGACTCACCAGAGCCAACACCCAGCGCCATGTTGTTTGCCCCCCCCCCCCCCCCCCCAGGGCTCCGAGTACTGGGAGAAAGACGTCATTGAAATCCTTCGCGCGCAGTTCAACGACTTTGACTTTCAGATGCCCGGCGCCACTAGCTTTGACCCTGATACCTTGTGGGTGGTGGCGACGGCGGCAGAGGCCGCCAGCGACCCTCGTACCTTTGTTCTCTCGGTGACCCTCAGCCTAGAAATCATGTTTCACGAGTGCCTCAAGCTCAAGCTCGATGGTACGCGTTCCCTCGCTCTCCCCTCGCACTCGTAGCATTGGATTTGGGTGATCCACGTGGCCCGCCCGCAGGGACTCAGTGGTACGCGCCCGACATCGAGATCGCAACTGCCAAGGGACGGGAGCTTGGCGTCCGCAATCTCCGGATCAGCGGCGAGTTCACCGTCGACTCTGGGAGGAGCCAAGAGCTGGAGCCGGAGCCCGGATCGAGCGAGCCGTACGTAGACCCGACCGAGTTTGCCTTCACGGTCAAGCTGCACGTGATGAATGCTGAGGACGACCCGCCAGAGGCGGGGTCGGGCCAGTGCTCACTGCGAGTGCTTAGGCAGTCAGTTCTCACCCGTGATCTCCATATCCAAGGTGGACTGGGAGCTCGACGTCAAGGCCTTCTTCGGGGGGATGAAGCTGCCTGACTACCTCGAGGAGACGCTGCCAAAGGTCTGTGATGTGCTTTGCGGGGGCCACCCGCGCACCCGACCCCGCCCCCAATCACCCCCCCCCCACCCCACGCAGGAAATTCTTCTCGGGCTGCTGACACAACTAACTCCAGAGCACCCGCTCGTGATTCGCTACGAGAACGGCGGACTCGACGTCCAAACGCTACTGGACTCGATCAAGGGCGACATCAAAGGCGGCCTCAAAGTTGGGCTGTGCGGCGCATGCCATGCGTGCAGCTATCGGGACTGCATAGAGACGTGCTGCATCTGCCCCGCCGCACTCGGCACGGCTGCGGCGGTGGATGTCATCACCTGCCAGCCTTGCGCCAAGGGCGACGCGTCGCGAGAGGCGTGCTCTGCGTGCCCGAGTTGCTGCTCCTGCTGCTGCTGCGAGGACTCGCAAGCCAATGCGGGAGGAATTCCGCCCGTTTCGACGGCTCAGGAAAGGGCGCTCAAAAGCTGGGAGGTGAGGAGCTTGGAGACCGTTGCTGCCAGCTCCTAGCGAGTAGTGTGTGCCCGGGGAGTGCCGCTGACTTGGAGCACTTGGAGTGCAGTCGGTATAAGCTTTTTTGAGAGCGCCTTCGCGCTGACCTTTTTTTTTTCGACCAAGCCAGCGAGCGGCGATGCAAGGCAGCCTTCGTCTGCAGCCGATACTCGGCATCTCCAGGGCTCGCCACATGGTCGAGTTCACTGGCCTGGCCTCGAGGGTACGCTCCTTCGAGCCCTCTCGCGGCGGCGGCCAGCGCTCGGGGCTCAAGGTTGTGGTGGAGAATGTCAATGTGTACGAGGGGCAATACATGCGAGTGGAGCGGGTGGTGCCCGACGAGGTGCGCCAAGTCGCCCCGCAGCAGCAGCGCCGCGCGCTGGGCAGGCCCGGGTGGATGGGCGGACAGCTTGGAGCCGTAACAGCGCGGCGCCGAAGCCGCGCTCCTGGAACATTGCTCCTCGGCCGTTGACGCCACCCGCTGTGACAACCTGTCGAGTGTGAAATCAGCCGCAACAAGCGTGCTTCCGTGCGAGGATTACGTGGGTATCACCGCAACAATCTACCGTCCCTTCACGAAGGTCCAGAGACATTGCGAGCGGTGTCGGCGTCGTCTGGCGTCTTTCTTTTCTCTAAGAGGATAGAGCCGTATGCACTTGCACGGCCTGCGCCTGCGCGCTGCGGACGCGGGACGGCGACGGGTCTCTTCACTGACACTCTTATCCATTCCGATTTCTGTGTGCGCGTCGTGACACCGACGGCGCCCCGACCCATCCAAGTCACTACTTGAACGAGAGGCAGAGGGGGCAAGTCGCAAGTGCTGTGAATTTTAACATATCGCCGTGACCCCGTCCACCAGCACCACCGCGCGCGCCGACCGCCGGCACACACACGGCTCACGGGCAGAGTCCGTAGACGGAACTCCACGCGTGTAGCTAGACGGTCGCCGGCCACCGCGCTCTGCGCGCGGTGTCGCCGTGGGCAACGCACAGACCACAGCACACAGTTGGACCCCTCACGCCTCAATCCCCTCCTGCCCACTCGTTAGAGCGGCGACTCTCCACACGAGAGTCCCGCCTGCTTCTCGTGGAGAGATCACACTGATCGGGGGCGGCAGCCTGGACTCTCTCCACACAACAACACAAGAGTCGGCGGGCAACCGGTGTCCGTTCGTCGATTTGCATGGGAATCCTCTCGCGCCGCCCTGGAGGAGAGGGAATGCATCTGCAGAGCCTGGAGCCGCGTTGTCGAAGCTTGCGCTGGGCGCGTGGCTGGAGCGACATTGAGCAACGCTGTCTTCCTACTCGCGGGCTACTCGCGGGGGCCGATCCGATCCGAGATGGACTTCAGGGCAGCCTTGAGCTCGGCGCCGCGGCCAAGGGGTCGTCGATTGCCTACGGCGCACGACGAGCGGGTGAACGACGCGCGACTCGCGGCAGTGGCAGAGACCACGGGTGCCCACCCAAATCAAGGCACTGGTGCGCGCCGACGGTGGACTTGCGCAAGCCCTTCCGGTAGATAGAATGGTCGTCCGCGAAGCGCTCCGTGCCCGCCTTGTCGAAAGCGGGCACCGACATCGACGTCGACCCGACTGCGCCGCTGCCCTGCGCGTCGTGCGCCGCAGCCTCGTACGCGCTCGGCGGCGGCGCGACCGAGGTGGCGTAGATCGAGTCTTGCCCGGCGAAGCGCTCCGTGCCCGCCTTGTCGAAAGCGGGCACCGACATCGACGTCGACCCGACTGCGCCGCTGCCCTGCGCGTCGTGCGCCGCAGCCTCGTACGCGCTCGGCGGCGGCGCGACCGAGGTGGCGTAGATCGAGTCTTGCCCGGCGAAGCGCTCCGTGCCCGCCTTGTCGAAAGCGGGCACCGACATCGACGTCGACCCGACTGCGCCGCTGCCCTGCGCGTCGTGCGCCGCAGCCTCGTACGCGCTCGGCGGCGGCGCGACCGACGTGGCGTAGATCGAGTCTTGCCCGGCGAAGCGCTCCGTGCCCGCCTTGTCGAAAGCGGGCACCGACATCGACGTCGACCCGACTGCGCCGCTGCCCTGCGCGTCGTGCGCCGCAGCCTCGTACGCGCTCGGCGGCGGCGCGACCGAGGTGGCGTAGATCGAGTCTTGCCCGGCGAAGCGCTCCGTGCCCTCCTTGTCGAAAGCGGGCACCGACATCGACGTCGACCCGACTGCGCCGCTGCCCTGCGCGTCGTGCGCCGCAGCCTCGTACGCGCTCGGCGGCGGCGCGACCGAGGTGGCGTAGATCGAGTCTTGCCCGGCGAAGCGCTCCGTGCCCGCCTTGTCGAAAGCGGGCACCGACATCGACGTCGACCCGACTGCGCCGCTGCCCTGCGCGTCGTGCGCCGCAGCCTCGTACGCGCTCGGCGGCGGCGCGACCGAGGTGGCGTAGATCGAGTCTTGCCCGGCGAAGCGCTCCGTGCCCGCCTTGTCGAAAGCGGGCACCGACATCGACGTCGACCCGACTGCGCCGCTGCCCTGCGCGTCGTGCGCCGCAGCCTCGTACGCGCTCGGCGGCGGCGCGACCGACGTGGCGTAGATCGAGTCTTGCCCGGCGAAGCGCTCCGTGCCCGCCTTGTCGAAAGCGGGCACCGACATCGACGTCGACCCGACTGCGCCGCTGCCCTGCGCGTCGTGCGCCGCAGCCTCGTACGCGCTCGGCGGCGGCGCGACCGAGGTGGCGTAGATCGAGTCTTGCCCGGCGAAGCGCTCCGTGCCCTCCTTGTCGAAAGCGGGCACCGACATCGACGTCGACCCGACTGCGCCGCTGCCCTGCGCGTCGTGCGCCGCAGCCTCGTACGCGCTCGGCGGCGGCGCGACCGAGGTGGCGTAGATCGAGTCTTGCCCGGCGAAGCGCTCCGTGCCCGCCTTGTCGAAAGCGGGCACCGACATCGACGTCGACCCGACTGCGCCGCTGCCCTGCGCGTCGTGCGCCGCAGCCTCGTACGCGCTCGGCGGCGGCGCGACCGACGTGGCGTAGATCGAGTCTTGCCCGGCGAAACGCTCCGTGCCCGCCTTGTCGAAAGCGGGCACCGACATCGACGTCGACCCGACTGCGCCGCTGCCCTGCGCGTCGTGCGCCGCAGCCTCGTACGCGCTCGGCGGCGGCGCGACCGAGGTGGCGTAGATCGAGTCTTGCCCGGCGAAGCGCTCCGTGCCCGCCTTGTCGAAAGCGGGCACCGACATCGACGTCGACCCGACTGCGCCGCTGCCCTGCGCGTCGTGCGCCGCAGCCTCGTACGCGCTCGGCGGCGGCGCGACCGAGGTGGCGTAGATGGTGTCCTTTCCAGCGAAGCGCTCGCAGACCTCTTTCCCCACCGCAAACGGCAGCACCGCCTTGTTGCGTCTGCCGATCGGGGTGGCGCCTGGCTTGGCGCAGACGCCGTACGTGCCCACCGATGGCCCCGCCGGAGCCTTGTACAGCTCGGCGAAGCGGTCGGCGGTTCGCCCTCCGAAGGACGCCGCCGCCTTGCGCCTCGGCAGCGGCTGTGGCGGCGGCGGCATCTGCCGCGGCACGACTCGGCGTGCGAGCACCTGCAGAGGCCGAGCGATGGGGCTAGGTGGGCACGGAAGGGGAAGGGCCTTGGGGCAGAGGGTGGCGGTGTGTGTTTGTGTGCGAATTGCTGGGTGAGCGCACGTCGGCGGGGAGAGCAGCGACGCGAGGCAGCGCGCGCTTGCTGCGCTGCGGCTCGCGGACCGCAGCACGGGGCGCCGCCGCCCAAGGGACCGGCTTGACTGGCGCAGGCCGCGGCTTGGCACCTGGCGGCGGCTTGGCTGCTGGCGGCGGCTTGGCTGGCGCGGCGGCAAGTCGCGGCATCGGCACAGCTGGTGCAGGAGCGGCGGCGGGCGCGGGGACGACCGGCGGTGCGACCGGCGGTGCCGCGGCCGGCGCCGCGGCCGGCGCAGGGGCAACGAGAGGGGCGGCCGGCGGGGGGCCGGCCGGAGGGGCAGAGGTCGCTGCCGCAAGCTCCTCGGAAGGTTGCTGCTCGCCGGACTCGGAGCCCACGCC